TATTTTTAGCTTTAAAATGTCACCAGTCTCCTCCACAAACTGAAAGTAGCCCATGGGCCACCAGTTGATGACCACAGTTGTAGCAGGTTGCGGCTCTGGACACATCTAATTCAGTGAACGAAGACGTGACAATGGCTCTTTTGATTGTAAAGGTTGGACATGTCCAGAGGAGGGACAGCAGGACGTTGGAAATGCAGCTGACAAGGAAAAGACAGAAGATCTGGAGGTAGTTGGCGTGAGATGGAGGGAACATCCAAAGAAGATCTACTGAAAAGAGACCCACAAAGAGCCAAAATGTCCCCCCTGCTGCCCTGGGGTCAAAAAAACACCAAGCCTGTGGGTGGAGTTGAGGACATTTGTCCCTCAGCTGACGTTAAACCCGGTGTTCTGGCTCGCCTCCGGTACACGGGTTCTGTCAGAAACCATTTGGATCCTCCGGTTCGTCCTGCTCATGAGATTATCTGCAGACACGGCGGGGGACGTGGAGCCGAGCACGTGGCAGCGCCTCGTGAGTCATGCCTGCCCACCTGCCCAGTCCGAGCAGGTAGACTGTAGGAGGGGGCGTGTCCGCAGGAAGTGACGTCACGAGCAGACAGCAGATCGCCTAAACGCAATGACCGTTTAGCGCTGATGTGTGGGGATTATCCGAGGGATGGCTGAGTAAACGAGGCGGCTCGAGCAGCAGGACCAGCGACGAAACGACCCGAAACAAGATGGACGCAACTTTTATACTGTCCGCCATCATTGTCACGCTGCTCGCCGTCGTGGTGGCGACGTCGCTGCTCGGCGGCGCGTCGCCCGCGGCGGACTTCGCGAGCGCGCGGCGCTACTTGGGACCCAGCAAGGGGGTCGGCGGAGAACCGGAGCGGCGGAACGGACACGTCCCGACCGGGAAGGAGAGCAAGAAGGAGGCGGAGAACTGGAGCGAGATCAGCGGGAGCTCCCACGACCACTGGGATGTGGTGAAATCTGTGCATTCAGTGGGTAATCTGTCAGATTGTTTACTGTCGGATTGTGTAATTCTGCCCTAATCTGCTGAAGTTAAGCCCCCTGCTGAAGAAGAGCTGATAAATACACAGAGCTACCAGGGATTCACCTCATTTACATAAATCAAGTGCAGAAAAAATCATTTCCCCTCACTTTATAAACTATAAACCATCAAAACCAGTAGGAGTCTGTTGGATTGGATTGACCTAACATAAATTTTGCCTAAAAATTAGGACATTTCTTCTTCTTGGAATATTTATTTCTTAAATGTATTAAAGAAGCAGAAATGAAAAAATAGTAATAATAATAATAATTGCACAATAGGAAAATCTGTATCTGTCATTTCCAGATAAACATGTTTGAGAGAAGTTAGATTTCTGTAGTTTTGTTCTCCTGGTCAACTGTTTGTTAAAGTTTTTTTTATTATTATTATTTATTCAACATTTATTTAGACAGGTTAATCCCATTTACAAGAGAGACCTGGTTTTTTTTTTTCTTAACAAAGAGGGATAACAACAATAGACAATCATATTCATAAAAGAGGCATACAATTATTCTTTGTTATTTTTTTACAAGTTAAAATAAAATGGCAACCAAAAAGACAGTCAAAAGGAAAAAGTAGCGAAAAACAGCTCGATTATACGGCGGTGTAGAAAACTAGAAACAGGAACATGTCTGCATTGGGAATATAATAGTGTTTAAAACATGTTAGTTAATAACATGTTTATGCCCAGTAGCTCTAGTCATTAATAGAATATAGTGAATAAAAGTTAAAGCTTGATGTTTCTTTACATATTTTGTAGTATTGTTTGTGTGTTGGGGGGGGCCTCGGCCAGAACCTAATGCTGTTTGAGGGGGCCATGACATGGAAAAGTTTGGGAACCCCTGGGAAATGCATTGTTTGGACTGAGTAGCGTGCCATGAAAACGTGCCAAATCTTCCCTGCCAAACGGCTTCTTCTTGTTTTGTCTTGTTTATTGGATTAAATGATTGAACCCTGGAGAAACAAGACATATAGGCAGTGTAACATGCATGTGGAAGAACCATACACAGCCACAACAGCCTGGTACGTCCTGTTTATTCCCACCATCTTGGTCATGCTGGTGTGGGAGGACGGCCCGTTCTCGAACCAGTTTTGTTGCCAGCCACTGTGGTTGTGTCTGTGACAAACCCACTCTGTGGTGGTGAGTACTGTCGTATTTGAGGACAGAGTTCAGTCCCAGACTGGACTGCCACCAGTACCACAGTCCTGACAACCAGACACCACCAGCACCTGTGGAATCAGAATCTCAAAACAAGAGGCATTA